GTCCACCTGCTCCATCCTAATATACGCAGATGCGCAGGCTACCCCGCTCTTAAGACAAACCCTCCCTCCAGCTCTACAGCTGTCACCTTTTCTCTTCCCAGTTACAGCCAGACATCGTAATAGGATTGTCTCCCATTTGTTTGGCACCTACTCACCCCTCAACCCATTGCAGTCTGGTTTTGGGCCCTGTCATCACGCTGAAATGTGCCCCTAAATTGTTCAATGCAGGTATTCGTCAAGGCTCTTATCACTCTCTATTTTCTCCTTGGGCAGTTTCTTCTAATGCCACGGCTTCAAATAGTATCCATGTGTCAATGATTTTCAATATTTTACTCCCAGTAAAGACCTATCCTTTAAGTTCCAGATCAGTGTATCAAATTACCTTTTCAAAACTGGGCACCTCAGTCCTAGCCAGTTTGGCTCCGTGGACAGAGCATCTGCCTGCGGTTCAATTCCATTCAAGGGCAGGTGCCTCCAGTTGCAGCTCTATCCCTGGCCCTGGGCAGGGTACATGCAGGAAGCAAGCAATCCATATTTCAATGAATGGCACCACCATCCATCCATTTATATAGGCTAGAAACCTGGAGTCAGGGTGGGGATGTCATTCTTTGTATCTCTTCTCTTTCACCACATCCCCCAACACTGACTGAGATCTCTCCACTTTCTTCTACGCCCCTCCACCCAAAAACAACAACAACACGTTTTAGGGTCAAAGAATCTGTCTTGGGGCATTGCTGCTTTAAACTGCACCCAAATCACCCACTGGACTGGTCACATGGGTTCTGTCATTTTAACTTCCTAAAAATCTCTCCCATCTGTCCACCTCTCTAACATCTTCATTTTCACCTCCTTTTCCCGAATCACTGTCATTTCTGGTCTGTCTGAACTGCTGCAGGAAGCTGGGAAATAGACTGTTTACACCATTGTCCACATTGATTGCTCCCTCCCATACCCATTAAATCCCTCCCTTGATAGCATCCCATTACTTTTGGGAGAAGACCAAATCTGTAAGGAGGCCTGTAAGGTCCTTTGTGGTTCTGCTCTTGCTTCTTTCCACACCCCCACTTACTCTCTATGCTCAGGTTATATATAAGCCTTGAACCTACAGTGGTTTCTCTTATCACAAGGTCTTTGCTTGTGCTTTCTTTGTAATGTTTTACTCCCAACCATTTCCCTCTTACTCAGATCACTCAACTTCCCAAAGGAAGCCTTTTTTAATACCACACTTTCAGTCAGGATCTGTGGTTGTATGTTCTTGAAGAACTGTATTGCTTTCCTGCTGGAAGCCGGTCCATCCTTGCTGCTTGACACAGTCGATGCAGGAAAGAAAGATCTGCACAGCATATGTTTCAAGGGACCTGCGTATATAGCATACTGTTCTTAATATGTTTGCTCCCCTTAGCGCTATGTGTTTTAACCAAGGTCACCTCTCCGAGAAAGGTTGTTTCCCCAGGTAGGGATTTTTCCCTGAAGTTAGGGAGGGGATGAAACTCCTTAACTAAGTGCCAGGCGGGTAGTTAATCACTTTAACTACGAACAATCATGCTTAAGCTA